CTGTGGCCCACGTAGAAAGGGTTTCCAGATCCCTTCGGTCAGTGGGAAATCACCATAGAATTATCATCATATCTCCATCCTTGGCTGCATGCATAATAGTTTAGTATAAATTGATATAAAGAAAACACACACATGTGCATGCACACACTGTATGTATGTATGTATGTATGTATGTATACATGCCAGGAAGTTAAAACCCAGAGCTTCCAGCCAGACCATCCTGTTTGTTTTGCTATGGTTTGCATGTGGATGCTTCCTTGGAGTCAGGTAAAATGTAATCCCTCTGCCTCCATGCTGTGCATAGCAGACCAGTTTGTCGCCGCTGTCTGTGCACTCATGTTCTTTGTGTGGTAGTCTGGCCTCAGGCATGGCCAGGGTGCCCTGTCCTGTGACAGCAGGGGGCTGATTTTCTGCACATGGGTCTATCGAGCTACCTTCTATGTGTCAGTCTCTTTTTAAAGTGCCCAACAGTATCCTCAGACAGATTTTTGCTTTTGCGTTTTTGCTTTTGTTATCTTTGAGATATCAAGGGTGGAAGGCAGCATTCATTTCAGAGAGGACAAGACTTCTATGGAAAAGAGAAGTGTTTTTTTGTGAGCCTAAGAACAGCGTATGAGTGTTAGAAACACAGTTCCATCATCCCTCCAACAGATCAGCAGGAAGGCTTTTGAAAACAGTAGTGAATCTGCTTTGTGGGGGCATGGACTGTAAGGAGAAAACCTTCCTCTATCTTTTGTACACTGTTGTTTTAGGGTACCCCAAGATAACATTGTTGATTCTTGGGGACCTAGAATGTTATCTCCTTGAAGGAAACCTGTTTTTCATATCTTTTACAGTAACGAATAAATGTGTTGATGGATTAATCTGTTCCCACAAAATGAGCCTTCAGAAAAGAAAATGCAAAGTTCAGTGATACTAGGTTATTACAAGCTCTTCGTGTTCCCTGTGACTGACCCTTCTACCTCTCTGGGGCTGCAGGCTCCCATTCTGAGAAACACTGGTGTCTGGGGACACTGGAGGCTGAGCTGCTCAGCACAGGCCATGTGTACAGACAGCAGTGTGAGAAGCCACCTTGTTAGAGCAGGATCAATTATGGTGACCTCTGTCAGCCTTGTGGGGTTGGGGGTGGGTGCCACAAGGAGCTCCAGGGGCCTCCCAGACAGAAGCTCAGCTGTATTCACCAGCACCCAGCATGGAGAATAATGGGTTTCCATGATAAGTAACGCCACTGATGTACGTCGTCTTCCTGGGTCTCAATGCTTTCTAGATATTGTTGTTATTTATATTTCCCTTATATGCTGTGGAGCTTTATGGGTCTGGTAGGGTTGGGAATAAATAGTCCTATTATTTGTTAATTACGTGAAACTAATAGATGCATATGAGTTTCATGACGGTTACTAATTACTTTTTTATTCAGTTAATGGAAATCTGTTACCCCTTAATTGATTTCAGCTGCAGTTATATTGTTATGGTGCCGTTGTTTAAATGGATGTATATTTCCCTTTGTGAGCCAAGTTCATTCAGATCTGCATTTGTGCAGGTCCCATATTCTTATGTTTGATAAATGAGCAAGTGGGTATGTTGGTTGGTGGAAGGATGGGACCACGACACAGGGGCCCAGTCCTCAGCCACCTGCCAGGGGTTGGCATGCAGGCATGTAACATTTCTGTTGCATCTTTTGTTTTCACAGTGAGAGAAAAACGCAAGAGTCTCTTCATTAACCATGTAAGTGAAGCTGTCTCCCTGTGTTTTTCATAATGACTGTACAGTATAAAGAGCTGAAATAACTGTGTCTGTGATGGATGAAAATGGCTCATGTGCTTTGTAGATACTTGGAAGAATGTTGCAGTGTACTTATGCTTAGTTTGGTTTGTAATTTGACAAGCATTACTCGGTATCTGTCCACTGTCCCAAATATTTTTCCAGAAGCCCTAGACCACTATTGTTCATGAGATGATGTGTGTGAACAATAACATATCAAACATCACCCAGCAAGTCCAAGCGAAAGGCACTTCTTTTTAATTTTGAATCATTTCCTTTCTCTACCCTCACCCCCAAATTACTCTTTCTCTCTTGTAGCTCAGTTTCATTTGAATAAACACATAATTGTTTTCCATGAGGCTCTCTGTCTCCACACTTGACTCTTCCCATTTGTTATTTGTGGGTCCAGTAGAGTCTGCATGTTCTTCTGATGCTCGAAGAAAGAGGATAAACTTGATAACACTAAATTAAAAAAAGATGTTCAAACATTTGGCTGTAGTCTTTTGGCCATTCTTAGCAATGTCTCCCTCCCCTGGTGGCCAGGTGCAGGTGCCCCGTTGAGATACTTTATCCCTCTTCCTTCCTTGAGCAGAGGTATAGCTGGCTGGCTCCAGCGCCTCCTCCACACCTTATGTACCAGGCAAGTCCTAGCCACCCCTTCTTCTTAGAAATATGCCCCTTTAGGAAAGAAAACTCTCCGAGAGGTATGGAATGATAAAACAGGTGTAAATTATCAAAATAAGTATGCTCTAAGTCCTCATTCTAAAAACAGAACCATACAAGGGTTTTTCTCAGGATTTTTAAACTGTCTGCATCTATGTGTTTGCAGATCTTGGAATACTTAGTCCTAAAGCTGTGTATTAAAGAGACTAAAGCCATAATATTGTATTCTCTGCCCTTTGAAAATATGGACAAAATGCAGTTGGGAAGAAATTCATAAGCTGGGCTGTTACACTTCAGGGACATGATGCTATGCCCATAGGAGATTGATGACTTCTTTGTAGTCAGTGTTAATATATATGCACATATACAGTTTCTAGGGGTCAGAGGGCTTATAATTTTTAGCAGATTCTTAAAGCAATCTGTGACTTTTTCCCTCAGCCCCTTAAATTTCAAAACATCCGTGTAAAGCACCTTTGAAATTGCAATTTGTGTCATGAGGAAAATATGAAAATTGCTGTGCTTTTTTTTTTTTTTTTAAAGCAGTATATACCTGGATATAAAAATTCAAGCGATTGGAACAAATTCTCTAAATCCTTGCTTCCATTTGTTTGCCTGCTGGGTGCACTTGAATGCTTTCCTACTCATTACACTCATGAGCACGCCTGCCAAGGAGCTTGCAAGGGAAAGGGAAGAGCTGGAACTGCATCCAGGCCATCTTTCCTGTTCACTGCAGCTCCATGGAAGGTGCATTGAAGAAAGAGGATAGGAGTTTGTGCCGCTCTGTTCTCATTGCGGCTGATGATACAGAGATGTGCTCCCACAGTTCTAACCTGCATACCTCTTTTAACACCCCTGCCCTCCACCCAGGCACACACCTAACGTTGCCATTTTGTGTCCTTTACAGTCCTAGCATCTGCCACACACTTGAGTACACACCTTCTGCACCCAGCACGTGGATTAGAATGGGAGGTCATGCATTCTCATGCACGATAGCTTCTAAAACCCAGCCCAGCATTCAAACCTCTGTAAAATCACATCTGCTGACACAGAGTGAAATTGCACAGTTGTTGAGATCTATGCAAATGCACCTATTCCTATAGAAAAGAAATCTGGGTGCTAAGTTTCTTACATAACAGATGACCCTGTAACAAGGAGCACGACCCTCCAAACTGTGAACAGACCTCACTGCAAATGAGCGCCATCAGTCCTGCCACACTGGGAAAAGCCGTGGGAGTGTACCAGTCCAACCAGCTGAAATATCATTTGAGTGAAATTACCTGCAGATTCAATTAGGCTAATAAAGCAGCTGTACTTTGCAGGTTTTGAAACTTGGGAATAGTAAGTTAGAACGGTGGAGAAAAGACGAGCAATAATAATAATCAGTACCATCTGCTGAGTGCTTTAAAGCGTGTGTGCCAGGCTCTGCTGTAATTGGTTTAATGGACTCATTTAGTTAGCACAATGGCCGTGCTAGGTAGGTACAATTCAGTATTACTATTTTACAGATGAGGAGACCGAGGCACAAAGAAGTTAGCCAAGTAGACAGTGGAGCCTGGGTTGAGTTCCAGGTGGTCTGCTTCAGCACCCCATTTAGCTCGCACCCTCTGTGTTCCTCAGATAATGACACCGGTTCCCGTGTGACAGAGGTTGTTTAGCTTGCTTATCTGAGTTAGAGATGACATTTATAATTAAATTTGTGTGGCATAGTCTCTAGGGTTCATTTCTGAATATGGATCTCAACTAAAATTTATCATTTAGTCTGTTAGTGAACTCTGGAGTGACAGTTATTTTTCACCCTTATTATACCATTTCATTTTTTATTTGCCGTATTGTGAGGGAGGTTGTTTCTTTAATTTCTCTTTCAAGTTTTGAAGAACCCACTTAGTGCATGTTGCTAAAATAACCTACAAAGAGGTTACTATTTAAGAGAAATGAATACAGTTGTGTAGGTAAGCCATTTAAGACAAGGTGGGTGTTCACCTCTACTCCCAGGACCATGATAACTGCAGGGGAAATAACCTCCTCCAGGTGGAGAAAAGTAGGACTTTTCTGGTTTCTAGCAAACAACACACATGAGCAAGTGAAAAGAGTGGGCTTTGACCCAGGACATTCTCCGGGGAATGGGGCAGTAGAGAATGGAACCCCAGGCTAGAAAATGAGAAGGGCCTTTAAGTGACTCAAAACAGCCAAGAGAGACTCAGAGGATTAAGTGAAAGGAGACCACTTCTCAAGGAATTATTACAGGTTTTAAGGCTTGAAACCTGAAAACGAACCACTTTGGATGTTTGGCAGCAAGTTCAACCAGGGTGAATTATAAAGGTTAATATTCTAATCCACACGTATGTTTTAGATGTAATTAAAGTGAACAGTTATAGGAAGTTTTTGTGTTTGTTTGTTTGTTGGTTTGAAACTTGGCTCACTACAGCCTCCCCCTTCTGGGTTCAAACTATTCACCTGCTTCAGCCTCCCAAGTAGTTGGGATTACAAGCATGCACCACCATACCCGGCTAATTTTTGTATTTTTAGTAGAGACAGGATTTCGCCATGTTGGCCAGGCTGGTCTCAAACTCCTGACCTCAGGTGTTCCACCCACCTTATTAGCTTCCCAAAGTTCTGGGATTACAAGCATGAGCCACTGCGCCCAGCTAGGAAAATTTAATGCATATGAAAGGTACACGTATTTTTATTTTTTTATTTATTTTTTATTTTTTTTTTGAGACGGAGTCTCGCTCTGTCACCCAGGCTGGAGTGCAGTGGCCGGATCTCAGCTCACTGCAAGCTCCGCCTCCCGGGTTTATGCCATTCTCCTGCCTCAGCCTCCCGAGTAGTTGGGACTACAGGCGCCCGCCACCTCGCCCGGCTAGTTTTTTGTATTTTTTAGTAGAGACGGGGTTTCACCGTGTTAACCAGGCTGGTCTCGATCTCCTGACCTCGTGATCCGCCCGTCTCGGCCTCCCAAAGTGCTGGGATTACAGGCTTGAGCCACCGCGCCCGGCAGGTACACGTATTTTTAAAAGGCTGTGTAAAGGGCTTTATTTAAAGTGTATACTTTGTTTAAAATTTGCTGACGTTTTGACTTTGCTTTTTTTTTTTTTTTAAAGGTTAGCTGTTTTTATGAATCTTTTAATTAAAGTGTAAAAATATTTGATTATAGATTGTGGGTGACATTGTAGGTGGTTGGAGTTAATAATCACTCAGGAAAAAAAAAAATCACTCCTGAAACTCAGAGAGAATGCATGCTTTTTACCTTAGCCTAACTTTTCTATGATTATCATCCTGCTACCTGGTGATAGCATACCAAAAATGAATGGATTATTCTAAGAAGTTAAAAAAAAAAAAGAGATGAAAACAGAACGAATCAGGAGTTGAATAGCCAGCTTCCTTTGTCTTGTTTGCCGTAGGTGCACTTTGAAATGAGAAAACCAGACTGGGGATTCTGTGTAGTGTCATCCTCAAAAAAAAACAAAGCATTTGTCTCAACACTGAGTCTGGTGATAGTTCAGGAAACTTTGTGAGTAAGTAAAGCAACTAGGGAGTGTTACTTATCAGCTAAGCAAGAGTCACATTATTAGCAGGACTTGGAGCCAAAAGAACTTTGTTCAAGCCCTCATTGGGCAGTCTTGGAAATATCTTGAAATGTCAGTTCTCTTATCTCCTAGGATGGCTCATAATTTTAGACCTACTTGACTCAAGGAAGGTAATGATTTGCAGCCTAATTATAACACCATATACGTATGTTGTATTATTATTGCCCATTGGAGTTTAGGTAAATTTGATTTAATTTTCAAAGTTCAATATCAAAACTGATGAAAGTCTTGCTGGTATTTTGAGTATGGATATAGTTTTTTCATAATCATTAAGACCAAGATTTTCTGGGAGGAGTATATTCTGTTCAGCTCCCTTTGGGGAATACTGACTTGAATAGTTTGCTGCTCTTAATGTAGTTCAGTTCCAACTCAGTTTCTGCCTTTTAGTTTTGAGTGAGGTAGGAATAGGATTCCTTGTAAAATGGTGTCTATTCTGGTTATAAGCTTCATCTGTAAGTCATAAAAGTCAAGTAATACAGTGAGCTACATCTAGGAACTGAAATTTAAAACATTTTAATCTTGCTTTTGCCTCTGGAAGATTTGCTCTTCATAGAATGAGAGTTTATTGAGCAGCTGCTGTGTTAGCATCAGTGCCATATGCTTGGAGGATGTGAAAGAAGACTCAGTTTTAAAATATCAGTAAAAATTTAAAAAATCCAGTAAGATTAAAGAAATCCAGCTTTTACTTTGAAATAATTTCAAATTTATAGAAAAGTAGCAGCAATAATTGAGAGTACAGGATTTTCATGTCACTAAAGGAACCTTAGATGCCCTGGTTCTCAGACCTCCTGTTCGCTTCACCCAGGGATGTTGAAATGGGGTAGATATTTTGTTATTTTCTCTCTTCTTTTTGTTTTTTCTTCTTCTTTTTGCGGAATGTTTAGAAATGATGATGTTACACGTGGAAATACTGGTACGTTGAGAAGCTTGTGTAGGACATCAGTTCTTTGAGTGTATTGGTTATGTCTGTGGAAGACTGTCTCTTTTCTTACCTCTTTCTGTTTCTTCTTCCCTTCCTTCATGCTGTCACTCTTGTTACAAGGCACAAAGGAAGTGGCACTTGTAAAGTTTAATGGCCCATTCAAATACAGGGCAGCTGACAGGTGGAATTGCTTCCCTAGTGCCTTTGTGGAAGGTCATTTTGAAAGCTACGTTGTCCTTGTTAAGACACCCAAGTGAAGGGGCCACTGAGCTGATGTTACGATTTATCCTGGTAACCTATGGTGTGTTCTCCGTGGAAGTTTCTATGTTGGAAGCCCTGATCTTTTGTATATAGTGTTAGGATCTCATCCCTTAATTAGCCAGCACAAATTCTTGACCACAGCTGCCTGTTTTTCACATTGCTCAGACACTGCTACGTGTGGGGAAGGAGCTGTTCTCATTTTAGTCAGTCACTGACTCTTGGTTCCATTGCTGCCATTCCTGGGGTCAGGGGAAGCACAACCACTCCTGCTAGCTGGGCAGGCACTGAGTGCGTCTTTGCTGTGCATTCTACTTGTCACTTCATTGCTCTCCTAACCTCCTCAGTTTTCAACTTCATCACCTTGCTCAGGGACTTCTGGAGTAGAGAGAAGAAAGGAATCAAGTGAAGCCTTGAAGGAGCATTGTATTTGAAGCAAGAACTTTGTCAGAAAAGCCCTTTAAGAAGCAGACTCTGTTACCCTTAGCCTTGTGTTATAATCTGTTCTTTGACTTTATAGATACATATATATGTGTGTGTGTATATATATGCGTGTGTATATATATGTGTGTGTGTATACATATATATGTTTTAACTTTTATTTCAAACTTACAGAATAATTGTAATAATAAGAATAATAATAATACAGAAAACTCTCATCTACCCTGTAGCCAGATTCATCAGTTTTAAACCAGTATTCTCTCATTCTGCACATCCTTGGTCATTGTCCTTTATTATTTTTTTTGAGTTGTTTGGAAGTAGGTTGTCTGCATTCTGCCTTTTCTCCCTAATACTCCACTGTGTGTTTCCTAAGATCAAGGCTGTTCTCTGTGTAACCACAATATTGTCAAAATAAAGAATTTAACATTGATGTGTTTCTTCTAATTAACTGACCACATTCCAGCGGTGTTACATGGCTCCGTAATGTCCACTACAGCGTGTTTGTCTGTGGTATGGGTTTCACTCCAGGCTGACACATGGCATTTAGTTGGCATGTACCCTCGATGTCCTTTAATCTGGAGCAGATCCTCAGCGTTTCTCAGTCTTTCAGGACATTGACACTGTTGGAAGAATACAGGGTCAGGTTTTTTTTTATTGTTATGTTTTTGTTTTTTTGAAATAATAACATAATGTTTCTCATTTTGGATTTGCCCGAAGGATGCAGTTAAACGTTTACAGCCAGAGTACTACATGGAGTGTTCCCTTGCCTTTTTCAAGGCATCAAATCAAGAGGCAGGCAGTATCATCTGACTCTTGTTGCTGGTGTTGATTTTAATTACTGGACAAGGTGCTGCCTGGATTCTCCACTGTCTGTTTACTCATTTTCCCTTGGCAACTAACAAGCAGTCTCTGGGCAGGTACTTTAAAACCATGTAGATATCCTGTGCTTTATCCCCACCCCCAGATTTAGCATCTGTTGATGAGGCTTACCTGAACCAATCTTTATTATTTTTGGTTACAGATGGTGGTTTTCCAACCCTGCCATACTTCCTCTCCCTTTGTCAGTAGGTGTTCTGCTTCAAGGGAGAGCCTTCTCTTCCCGTCTGTCCATCTGTCTGTCCATCCAGCCATTTTCAGTACAGATTCCTGGATTTCTGCTTTTCCAGTGATACCTAGTTCATGCCTCTGCTTAAATATTTTGATGCTCAAACTGTCCTAGATTTGGGTAGTGGCAGTCTTTTGACACTGGTTTTGTGTTCTTGTGACATGCTCCATCCTTTCATTTTGTTTTGAGAACTCCTTTGTTCTTTGGCACAATAAGATATTCCAGGCTCATCTTGTACCTTTGCCTCAACCCTGGATAGCCATTTCTCCAGGGAGTCCTGATTCCTTTTAGTGGCAAACGATACTAGAACCAAGATCTGGACACCATGTGTGCTCATTGCTGCTGGGGTGTTATTGCTTCTAGGCCCATTTAGCAGGTGTAGCTAGGAAACAGACATTTCAGAAATCATGAATTCATACTGTTACTTTAAATTTCCAATTCCAGTCTATCCCATAGGTTTTTTCTTGACCTTGGCCTTTGACTTTTTAATTTCTAATGGAAAACTTATTTTTTAAAGTAAGTTTTATTGATATGCAATTAACATGTAAAATTCACCTTTTAAAAATGTACAGTTCAGTGGTTTTTAGTATAACCACAGATGTGTGCAACTGTCATCACAGTCAATTTTAGAACATATTCATCACCCCCAAAAGAAACCCTGTACCCATTAGCAGTCATTCGTACTCCTTCCCCTCCCCGACTAGTCTACTGTTTGTCTCCGTAGATTTGTTTATTTTGGATATTTTATATAAATGTAATCATATTTTATATATATGGCCTTTTTTGAGTGGCTTCTGTCACTTAGCATAATGTTTTCAAGGTTCATCCATGTATCTCAGAACTTCATTCCTTTTTATGGCCAAGTACATATCTACAGAGCAGAATTCTACCATAAAGTTGGCGTTTTCCAGTTTTTGTTCTGAGATCCAAAGTTGGTTTATTTTCTCGCTTTCATAGAGAATGATTTGGTTCACCTGTGTTCTTAACTCCATGGGCATTTTGCCTTCTACTTTAGTCTTGCTGTAAAAAATCGATCCTACTAAAAGCTGTACCCTTTTTTGTGGGATGGGGGTACGGGGACAGAGTCTTACTCTGTTACCCCCGCTGGAGTACAGTGATGTGATCTTGGCTCACTGCAACCTCTGCCTTCTGGATTCAAGTGATTTTGCTGCCTCAGCCTCCTGAGTAGCTGGGATTACAGGCACTCGCCACCATGCCCAGCTAATTTTTGTATTTTTAATAGAGACAGAGTTTCACCATGTTGGCCAGGCTGATCTCAAACTCCTGACCTCAAGTGATCCAGCTGCCTTGGCCTCCCAAAGTGCTGGGATTACAGCCATGAGCCACTGTGCCTAACCTGCACCTTCTTTTTCTTTCTATGGAACATTAGTTTGTGAACACTTTGAGGTCAGAGAGGAAGATTTTTTCATAGTTTTGCTTTTTGTCTGTGTCTCTGTGACCCCTGGTGGTCTTGGAAAAGTGATGATGGTGCTTTCCTCTCTCCCAGCCTGGTGCCTTCCACATATGGGCATCCCCCTGTGAGCACACCTGCTCTTGCTGATCAGTGCTCTGGGTTTCACAGGCTTCAGAATTCCACACAAAGTTCTTGAATTCCACTCCACCCTGTATTAGCTGTGTGAATAAGGCAAAGACACTTCTGCAAAATGAGTGGCCTTTATGGTTTCATGGAGACTGTCTGTGAGCTGGGAGTTCAGCAGGTGGCAGGTGTGATCCCGCAACCCAGCCTCCCCTCCACTTCTGCACTCCAGCAGGCCTTTCGTTCATTCCTAGTCAAGGAATGCCAGTGCAAATGTCCTTTCTCTGTGGCCCAAGGAGGCTGCAGACCGAAACCTGCCTCCTTTATCAAGGTCATAGTTTGCCCTCCTTAAGATTAAAAAAAATTGTGGAGCTTTCATATTTAGAGATTTCACTTATATTACTTCCTTTCACAAACTTTTACTGCTTATTTTCCTCTAGTAATATTACTTCATTTTATTTATTTATTTATTTGTGAGACAGGGTTTCA